GTGCAAATGGGATGGATTTGAGCTCATGACTTAAGTTGGTTGCACCCAATCCTGAAGTTTGGGTTAAGAACCAGACCCGAGGGCAAGCTTAGCCTGTGGACTCAGAGCCCCGGGAGCTGAGCAGACCTGGCTGGTTGGCCCCTGCTCAGGAAGTGCATTTTGTTTTGGACAAGTTCCCAGCTGTCCCATGGTATGGAGTTACAGGGTGGTTCTTTGTGATCTGATAATTCCTATCAACATAACTCGCTGACATGCAAACCCTGGCGAGGAGGTTTGGGCTCCCGGGTATTTACACAGGATAAGCCAATGATTCAGACTAAAAACTTGCCCTAAAGTGAGACAAATAAGGAAGAGATATGAGCCAAAGGGAGCAAGTCCTAATCCTTCTGGGTTCTCCCAGGCAGGTAGCACATGCCTGACAAGAGACATGTGAGAAGAGGTCACGCTTCAGAGCTCTGGCCCTTGGCAAGGAACAGGGAATTGTTAATTCCTCCCTTTCTCAGGAGCAGATGGGACTATCCCTCTGCCATTTTCCAGAGTAAGCACGATCAAGACCATGAGTGGAGCTGTAACACGATCAGGGCTGCACCAGTTCTACAAGACCAAAGGATATTCCAGGCCACTATCAGGACCATCTCACTGCCAGGGAGACACGTGAGACCCGAGACACCCGGGAGCGAGGGCAAGCAGAGGACACCTTCTCAGATGAAGTGGGAGGGAGAGAGCTGCAAAGAGAAACTGGAGCCCTCAAATTTCACCCTGAGCAAACCCACAGGCACAGCCAGACCCGACTGCTTGGGCTGTGGGACTCCCCAGAACGAAGCAGCTCGTTTAAGGCTCCTCTGCTGGGATGGGGCGTAGCTGCAGCGAGGCTGGGACACAGCTGGTGGGTGGGGATGCTGCAGTGTGTAGCAGGGAAGGAATGCAGCCCTCTTTCCATAAATCTGGCTTTTCAGCACTCCTGGAGACTTGCTGTGCTAAACTACAGCTTGGTCCTCTTAGCTGCATTACTCTCCTCTAGCTGCTTGCTAAGAGGCAGAGCTCCTGCCCACAAATTGCTTGGAGGGTGCCAAAATAGCACCACAAGCATGGGAGCAGAGTGGCATATCCACTTATATTTAAGGGGTATCCCCTCAAAAAGAACTAATCCTGTGTGCCCCAGGTGGAATCAGCTCAGTCCCCTTCTGTGGCACTGGTTAATGCAGAGAACCTCAAGCAGTGCAATTGTGTGAGCTGGAAGCCATGAATAAAATATTACTGGAGATATTCTCTTGTGAAAATAAACTTGGTTTGACTTGTTTAAAACAGTGTCTTTATTGTCTTAAAGTCAGCTTGGCTGGTGAATTGGGACCTCCGGGAGGGGTGGCTGCTGTTCCTGTCTGACCAAAATCTTGAGCGTGAAAGGGAAGCCACAGCCAGGACACCACGAGGATGTGGGGCAGACTGGGTTGGCCAAGCAGCTGAGACCATCTGTTTGAACTGTCAGGAGGGGCTTTCTTGAGTCAACACAAATCCTACGTGAAGCCCCAACCTGCTTCTTCACCCTCAATCAGCTCAGGGGCTGCAGGTTGGGCTTCTCTCTGCCCTGGACAGTCCTTGCTGTAAGCATGTTTATAATGGATACATCATCAGGAAAACACATGAACTTCCAGGGTCCACTAACCCCAACTAGAGCTCAGAAAGCAGCCAAGGCAATATTTAATTTCTCCAAGGCTTCCTGGCACAAAAGGGAAGGGCCCAGGAGGAGGGTGAACAGGCTGGCCAAGCTTATATTCAGTGGATATCTGGGACTCCCACCTGACTGACTGGCCAGGATCCCCCAGCACATCTCAGTGAGGCAGCAACATCACCCCTGACCACTGGCACAGAGTGACAGATGTCTTCTTTTAGCAAAAAGCAGCCAGGAAGCAACATGAAGAAAGGTGAGTTCCCCCCCAGCACCTCCCAGGACACTGTGGGACGTGAGCACTCTCAGCACAAATACTCCAAGGGAATATTTGGCAGCTCGATGGATCTACCAGCATCATGACCCCAGATGCAAATCCCCCAGGACAGGGTATGTGTTCAGCCCAAGCCTTCCAACTCACCATGTTCAGGGGAAGCTTCAGGAGCTGAAGCCAAGAAACCTCCTCTCCCTCAACCAGCAGCAGAGATGTCCCTCTCCCTGCTGGGAACAAGCCCCAGGGGTGGAAAGAACCAGTCAGGTGGGGCTCACACAGCAGGCAGGCCATATAAACACCACAAATCCCATGATTTTAACCCAACTCACCCCAGCTGATGGTTAGTGCCTTCTCTTCCTCCCACCACGTGTGACTGTGGGGCTGGAAGGACCTGGCAGCATCTTTGCCAGGGCCACCCCCAGTGCCAGGGGTGCCAACCCCAGAAATGGAGTGGAAATGCTTTTAAAGTCTCCCTTGAATGTCCTGTGTCCTCCCCTGTGCTCCACACCAAACCCTGCCCCTGCCTAGGCCCCCTAATTTA